CATAGTGGCGTAGAGGCAGCACTTTTTCGTGTTGTCGAAGGCTGCTTTAAAACTGGCGAAAGATGGTGTGTATCTTTTCATGGGTGTTTTCCAAGATTTTGCGCATGGTGAATATCCGGTCAATGATTGACTTACCAAATTGATGGGCTTTAATCTTTCGCACAATGTGCTTGACATGTTAAGGAGACTTATTCCACGGTAATTGGCGCAAACTGTGTGAAAGCCCTTTTTGTGGATGGGGCAGAGCACACTTAGGTTCCAGTCGTCGGGCAATCTTTCATTCTACCATATTTTGCAAAGCAACTGATGCTTCCTGATCAGGTCTTCACAGCCGTATTTCAATAGCTCGGCCGGTAGGACGCGAACCCTGCAGCTCGAGCGAGCCCCAGTCGCTTTGTTATTTTTAAGCGAGCGATTGCTGTTCGGCATAGTCGGGTAAAGGAATAACTTCTCCATCGTCATCAATTAGAGTTTTGGGTTCATGCGGGTATCTCATTTTCACTGCCATTCAGCTGGCTGCCCATTAATTCTGTATACTCTGGGCACCCTTCGAGCGTTTTTCTTGTCGGCCAGCTCCTCAAGCTCTTTGTGCTCAGGCATTTCGGCCTCTTTCTTTTTTTCCTACAAATGCGTCTTGCTTCTTTCTTCAGGGCTCGGTATCTAACCCACCCCGCACATGTTGTTGTCGAGGTAAGCAGTTTGCTTTCTCTCCACCGCGACACGTCGGTCCTCATCGTACCAGCTCATTTTACACCCTTTCCGAAATCCAATAGTTTCGTGTGCAGCTGTACGAGGACGTAGGAAGTTTGAAATGCAGTCCAGGTTGCTAAAAAGTGCTCTCCGAGAGCAGGTGCAGGGTAGAAAACCGCTCGGCTGTCTGTTGTGATCACAGATTTTCAGCGTCGAGCCTTCCCTGTGTTGGCGACGAGCGTTCTTCGTTCACAGATGCTCGAGTTAGTAATCCGAGTCGAAGTTAGGACCTCGGAACGTACGCACGTCTAAAATACTGGATATATGTCTTCCGTCTATCACATGATCGATCTGATTGTGAGTTTTTCGATCTGGAGACAGCCAAGTTGCTTGGTGAATTTTCTTGTGCGCGAATCTAGTACCATATTTCGGGCCACCATTCCGACCACAATTTCCATGAAAGACGGCCACACCATTTCTAGTTTTGATACAATTTTCTGAATGCTGACATGCCCTTCCTAATAGAGGGGTTGGAGCCTTAGGCATTAGGCTCCATATATGTTGCACTAGAATTATTTTCTTTATTCAAAAAACACGTTTCATATTCCCCGAATTTCAGCGAAATCGAAGATCATCGCGTAGAAAAATTGATTTTTTTACTACGTTTAATGTGGAGTGGCTGTGTTTAGCTTTCTTTGTGTAAGTAAAATTGTTTGAGAAAAATATTGCTGCGTTTGGCTTACTGGGTGCAAGCGTCTTCGATGCAGTGACCTCAATGTCTGAAATAGCGAACAAGCAGCTAAGAAGGACTGGCGAAAATTCTAGTCAGCACCATTTCTTCGTAAAAGAGTTACGCTCAAGCAAGAAGCTTCAATTATTGTATTCTATTTTTTGTTTTTGTTTATTTTTCGCATTTCATTTTTCTATACAAAAGAGAGTAGCTTACTACTTCTTCGGAAAACGGAAAAGCGAGATTGCAGAGCAACTGGTTTGTACACAATATTTGGCAGCAACAATTTGCATTGCATGTCATTTATCGATTACCAGCTAACCAGCTCATTGCACAGAAATGGAGAAAAAGCGGCAAATTGCAATAAAAGCCTAAATTCGCGAAAAAGGTGAAAGTTGAAAAGAAATTTTTCATGTAAATATGTGTGTAAGGTTCGAAAATTGAAAAAAAAAATTATAAATTTGGAAAAAAATAAAACTTTTTATATAAACATATTTACAAATCTTATGAATTTTAGTTTTAAAAATAAATGCTTCGACCCTATTTAAAAATAAAATTAATGATTTAAGATGCAACAAACGCATAGCCTCATTATTTCAATTCATCTGCTGCCCCTTTTTAATTAATTAATATATATATATATATACTGTATATACAAATACTTCCCCCTCACGCGCTTTTGAGCAAATAACTTCACTTACTCGTACGTATTTATTATGTCGTCTCTCCAACCACACCTGTTACCAATTTTACAAATTACAAACATGCACATTTACACGGAAACAACAAAAAAAAAGACAATAACACTCCACTTGCATGGCTTCTTCTTCAAAGACAACAAACAAAAAGATCTAACTGCACTTTAGTTGTTGTTGCTCATCGCTAAATAAATTGATTGTGAATCTGTGGCATTTGTACTGATTCGCTCATATTTTATCAACATACAAACCCACACTCTCACACACACGCACATACATATGTATATATAGCTCATAGATTTATGCTTAAATGCATGTGTAGATATGTATGTATATATTATATATGTACAATGTGTCGCATATTAACACGCGCATTGAGGAGCACAGCGTGGCGTATATTTTTTACACCAACACATACAAACGCATTAAGTGTCCAATGCAAGCGTCTGGAAAATATTTATTTATTTATTTATTTATTTACCTATGCATGTATTTGTTTTTGTTTCTGTTTTTGTGTGCATTAACTGCATTAGCTACACATTTGAGTGATTTAAGTGAGATGCGGCGACATCAACAATTGCTACTGCGGTAAGCTAATATTTATAAATAAACAACAACAATTTGCAATTGCAGCAACAAAACCAACAACGGCAATAACAACACAGCCACACCGTGATGGGCTGCATCCGCTTAAGTGCATCCGTTAATTTAGATAAAACAATGTGCAGTAAAAAAGATTTAATAATAACTTTTGTAATGGAAAAATTTATATTAATAAAAAATATGTTAAATAATAAAATGTTATTAAGCAAACAAATATATTTTTCAATACGTATTTGAATTAAAAAGAATACTTCCCATTCAAGTTAATTCAAAATTTTTATTTCGTACAACTTTATTGCAAAAAAAAATAAAATTTGCTAATTTTCTGCAAAATATACACAACTCAATATTTATAAATATTCTTCCTTTTTTACTCTCAAAAATTAAAAAATTTATAAAAAAGTATTTTATATAAAAAAATAGTTGTTGTTGTTTTAACCGCAAAAATATTCCCTAAAGTACTTTTTGGGGAATGTTGGACGGCAGTGACAGTCCTTGGCCGGATAAAAATCCGGACCGTTTCGGTATAAATACGAGACTGTCGTGGGAACTATTGGATTTTAGTCGCCTCTTACCGCAGATATACCCTACCGCGGGTAAATTCTTGTACTCCTAACCCGCAGCGGTGTACTAAATATAAGAAACGAACAAAAATGGATCAACAAAACAAACCAGATACATACATAGTGAAAAAATTTAGTTAAATTGTGTAATTGCAGTCGCTCCTCGTCGTCGTCAACATGAAATAATGAATTTATGAAGAGTAAAAATCTTTCATCCGCGCGGAGGTAACTCAGAACAAACTTTACTCCCTTCATTTATTGGGAGATGAGCTCGGCCAAAACTGGCTTCAGCGTTTAAAACACGTCAGTTGTACATAAAAATTTATTTATTTTGGTATTAATAATGCAATTTCAAATTCAAAATTTAGTATTTAAAACGCGTTTTTTTCTAGTTTCCACAATTTTTTCTCAAAACGATGAAAGTCGACTGACAACCACAATATTGGTAAAAAGTAATCCATATTTTCGGGATTGAATTGAGGGCGTCATTGACCATCGCTTGAATTACTCAATTTGTTTCAAATATGCGCCGTCTAGTTCGATAGCTTTTTGCTATTTTTCAGGTAATGTCTCCCTGAGAGAAACCCTTGTTCTTATTGGCAAAAATATTGGGACAATCGATTTTCACAGGCTTCTCTTGAGGGCCATTCTTCACCAGACAAATCATCTGTCCTGAAAGGAACACTTGGTGCGAGATTCGGACTAAAAGGTGGATTCATATGAAACTTCCAACCGATCTCTAGGAGCTTTTGGCGAGTCATTATCGATGTGTGTGGTCTGGCGTAGAACTGATGAAACACAATTCCCCTCCTGTCGGCCAAAGCTGAGCGCTTCTGGGCGATTGCTTCCTTCATACGGCGCAATTGCAGGCAGTGCAGATCCGAAATGAGAGTAGAGGCGCAGGCAGCACATAGTGAATGGTTCCAAGAAAATCCCACTGCACACACAAAACAACCCAGCTGGTCATCAATTCTGGCTTGGAAAATGTTTGTGCCGACTCACTGTGCTTCGACCATGACCATTTTCATTTGATGTTGCTGTAGGTGACACACTTTTATCACCAGTTACCATTGTTGATTGCTTGGTTTCGTTGCTACACCAGATGAAAATTCGCTCCATGAGGTGTCTTCTCGTTAAGTCATGTGACGCCCATACATCGAGGTTCTTTGTGTACCCAGCCCTTTTCAAATAGTTTTTTGTGCAATGTTTAGCTCCTGGTCATTCGAAACAGTGCTTGAGATGCTTGACGGTCAGACTCAACTATTTTCATTATTTTGTGGACATTTTCGAGAATTGAGCTTCCACTCCGTGAAGTATCTTTTCCATTTACATTTTCAGCTGCGACAAGTCTTAGAAGATAGCAAATTTTTTCTTTGCTGGTGTCTATCTTGGACATGCGCTCAAACACTACTGATTAAAGTGATCAATACTTCTGCCACTATCTATTTTACTACGAAATATCATCTTTCTAACACCACCTAGCCTAATCTAATCACGCGTATAGAACACGAGACACAGAGATACTCATCTCTCAAGCCATCTATTGCAAAAATAATGGATTACTTTTAACTAATACAGATATTATAAATTGAAATTATTTACAAAATTCATTCACACTATATTTTTTCACTGTTTGTTCAAGTGTTTTTTGAAAAAAAAAACAACTCATTAGAAAATGAATTAATTTTGTCCTTAACTTAATTAAATTCCTCCTACCTCTTTATAAATATAAACACAGCACTGCCCGCCTTCTAAATTACGAATATTTTTTAATTTGTCCAAAACACGTACAAACGAACAAACATAAATGTCCATGAGACACTGTGCAAGAACACCTTCAATTCAATTGATGGCGCGCTCAAACGAATCCACATAAAATATTAAAAAAATATTAGCGCTTTTCACCGAATATTTGAGATTTTCTTTTCGCCTTTTCGCGTTGCCACCAACCGTTCTTTACGCTTCGAGCGCTCAACAACAACTGAATACATTAAAAGTTCTTTGATAGCGTGTAAAGTCAGCAGCCCTCGCTGCGAGGTAGATAAATAGATACTTTTTCAGTGTGACACTCGTTGCGCTGTGTGTGAATGTTGGAGGTACGAGTTTGCCCAATAAAGGGGGACGCGCTAACTAAAAAGCATCTGCCGTCGCCGCCTTTGCTTTTGCTGCTGTTGTTGCTGCTGCTCTTCTCTTTTGTTTCTGCTGTGATAAAGTTGACATTGTAGATACTTGTTTAGTTATTGCTGTTGCTGCGGGATGTACATGTTGCGTCGCTTTCGATTTAAGCGCCAAATGTTGTTGGATAAACAGCGGCTGATGGAGAAAACAGTTTGCAACCAATGTTCGTTTGTTTAGAAGTAGCAGAAGCTACTTGTTTGTCTTTAAAAATGTTTGATCAACGCGTTATCGAACATGTTCGATTAAGAGTTCTTTTTATAAACAGAATGGGGATTTTTTCAACTTTAATAATGTAATTTAAATATCATGTCTCGCTTTAAAAACGGTTCGAAAATTAAACTTCATATCTTTAGTAAAATCTGATAAAAAAATACTTGTTACCTGAATTGATATAGGAGCGGGAGAAAGGCTTGGTAGTGGTGTGAGCTGCGGCAACGAAGGTGGCAACTGGTGGCTTCGTCAACTTTGGCTGGTGCTGGTGATGGCTAGCTGATACACTGTCACCGATATATAATTCAACCGAGCTTAAAAAACCAATATCGGGTATCTCAAAAAGAACATTCCGCAATAAGTCCATCATCATAAGCGGAAAAAGAGGCAGGAACACTTAAGATGCTGCGTTCTCTCCTGTGGGGCAACGAACCTCTGGACCTGAATGAGTTCGTACTCTAACCCGACGACATGCGATGACCGGGTGGAAATTTCATTCGGTGACCGTGTCTCAGCGTATTCGCGCGAGCTACCTTTCAGTGGACAAAATGAAGCGACAAATGATCCGCAATCTGCGAAAGATGCCAATCAACTAATTTATCCTGGAAAGATGTTTAGGAGTTATCGAGAAGACCCACGGCATAAGCCGGCAGATGCAAAAACACCTAGAAACAGCGGGTGCAGATTACCTTAATAACATTCTTACTTTGTGTTTTAACCCTCTACTGATACCCTTTATGTTTACCTATCTAGTGATACCCGATAGTGATAAAATTGGTAGAGTGGTCCGGCAACTTAAGCCAGGGAAACCATCATATTAAATCAGTCGATATCTCTCCCTTTCCTTATAGTAAATACAATTTACGCTTAGCTGCTCCCATCCTTCACACATCATCTGAGCCTATCAGCTCATCAGAATGGCTTACGAAAGTTTACAGTACCACAACCAGACTGAACGTCAAAAACACCCAGATAGTCCATGGAGTTAACCAAAACCGTGCCTGTGCGGAAACCGCCCGGGTAGTACTGGATCTGTCTAAAGCGTTCATATTTTCAGCCATTCAGTGCAACTAAGTCATTAGGGCCCGGGCAGAAGTAATGTAATATGAGCTACTTGAGGGGTCAACAATCATCGGTAGAGTTTCGCCGTCAGTGTAATACATCTAGAAGCTCGAAAGTGAACTTCTATTGTCATCGAACTTTGTTGAGATAAACAAGAAAGAAGAACTATCTTCGGTCATGACAGACGTGCGTTGTCGCACCTGTTTTTTCGATCATTTACTCTCAGCTGAAAAGTGCAGTTATCATAAATATTAAGCCGAACAGAAACTATTTTTTTTTTTTTAAATTTTGTTGTTGTTGTTTTAGCAACTAGCTAACTTTAGGAGCAGACAAATCTAGCCGATGTTGTTGACGTCACCTACCGGAAGGTTCAGCAATGGAACTGTTTTGACGGATTGGGACAGGGGTTTTAGACGAGTAGGCAAGTTATTTGAGTTTAGTCTACAATAATCAGACTTTAGCTGGGCAGCATTACCCGAGTCGCTGCTCGCATTTTGCTCAAGGTAGTAGTCGAATTCTAATGGCGACATTTTTAGAAGAGAGTAGAGCAGGCTACTGGCTGACTCTCTAAGAAAGACATTCAAACCCTGTCATATCTGCGATGTAACGCTGATTAGGTCAATAGGTAAAGATTTTCAAATCTTATCATTTTTGATACTTTCGAGCATCAGATCTGTAGACTCGTTCTTATAAATCAAGGAACTCGCCAGGAATGACAACCCTCCGAGTGAATTTCCGAAATGAAATAAAGCTTTTTATTAAAAAGTCCTTTAGCCGTTCGGTAGTGGCTTAATATAGACTGTAGGACCCTCCATTTGTTGGAAAAAGATCAAGACACAAAACCACAAAATGGAGGAGGGCTCGGCCGAAAATCGCTTCAGCAGTTACAAAGCGCCAATTATAAATATTTAAGTTGTGTAGACATATGTACATATTTTCACTTAGTGGAACGTAGTAAAATATTTGAGCACTCCATTACTTGCGATGCATTAAACTTGTTAATTTACATACCATACATATATACTCGTACATATGTATTTTGTGTGTGCATTAATTTCTTAGTACTTAATACAATATCTAAATTGAAATGCTTGCTGCGACACTGACCTTTGAATCGCAAACTTAAATAAATTCAAATAGACCACTAGGAAATGAGTATCTAAAAATTTTATTGCAATGCCCCTACTAGCCGCCAAATAAGTGCGGATAGAAGTAAAAAAAACACACAGAAAACGAGCAGTTAAAAAATGAGTTAAAAACTAAAGTACTCTGCGCACTTATTTATCCTTGCGCAGCTTCTGACTGGACAGCTCAATCGAGTCCAACCACAATTTCAAATCCGCTGGCATTTCTGGTTGCGTAACGGCTTCTGGGAAGGTCTTCATCAGCTCTGTAACATCACAATTCGTAATGCACTGCTTGGATAACGCCACGGCACGTACAAAACCATCTGATAAGGTGACAAATGATTGCTCCAAATAGATTGCCTTCTCATCCCACCAAATGAGTTTTGTTTGGATTTTATAGGGATGGAAGATGGGTATGGTGCGGCGATAGCGTACGCTCGATGCACCCTGTACAGCACCACCTCTGCGATTGCGCACCTCCTCGTAGAGACCGGTCAACGCGTAGAAATGGAAGCGCGCAAAGTCCAGCTCACGCAGGTAGCGAGCGTTGTTCATGTGACGTATAAAGATGTCGACATCTTGTGAAGTGCAAAGGCCTAGAGGTGGAAACAAATGATTAGAGCAGTTAAAGTTGGTAAATTAAGTAACTACTCACCGTAAATGCTCGTTTTATCAGTGACCTTTCGTTTGCTCTGAAACAGACGTCCAGCGACCACAGTGAAAAGACAACGTATGAAGTAATTAACATCCCAGATGATGTAGAGAATGAGCAAAATGACCAGAAACGACATGCTGCTGTCGGAGATAAATTAAATACGATGAACACATACACATGCAAGTGAAAAAGTTGATTCAACAGCGGTAGCGGAGTTTTGAAATGTGTTACAACATAAACATATTACAAATTACAACAACAAGAAATGTTGTAAATAATATGCATTCACATAATATATTACAACAAAAACTTAATATTTTTCTTATTTCTTAAAATTTTTTTTTTCAAAATCTTCAGTTCTGACCTTATTTTTAATTCCAAATTTATTTAAAATTAAACTGCCTTCGAACTTTAGTTGCCACTCTTCGCAATCAAATGCACACATTTCTCAACTCCCAACCCAGCTGTTTGCATAAACAAGTCAATTATTGCATTATTTAATTAATCGATGCGCTAGCATTTTGACATTTGCCCCAAATATATATAAATATTCCATAAATAATGCGATTCCGAAGCAGCTCTAGCAACGCACAAGTCAGCGGATTACAAAACACGGCAAGTTGGCGTCTCAATCCAAAAAAAGGTATACAACAAATGACAACAACGAAGCTTTTTTCATATTCGTTTCTTTTTGCGCTCACAGGTAACCCACCTGCTTTTTGTGAAATTCCTTTAGCTGCTTCTTCGTTGAACGTCCGTCCACCACAATACACTAGACTTAAGTGAAACGCTGAATGTCCAAACCAGCTAATATTTATGAAACGCCAGGTAATATAACAACGGAGTTTGTGTCGCCATGGGCGGGCGCGTTAAATAAGAGCACAACGAGTGAGAGAGGGAGATTGTGGCTGGTGAGTTTGCTGCGCTACTTTCTACTAGCCCATGAGTTGTTGTATACTCCAGAAGTGCTTTTGTATTCTCTCACCTTTCTTTCATACTAATTGTCTTAGTTACTCTTGCTTATTCTTTTACAACCGGTTTCTCTGGAAAACTACCAATTGACTTTAAGTGAGCTAAGTAACAAACAAGCCTTCATTGAGTGAATGCATAATGATACAAAAATGAACGCAGTTTCACTCAAATACCTTTTTTTAAGTCAAAATAAAAACTTTTTTTTACTTTCGCTTTGTTTTTGTGCTTTTAACTAATATTAATAATTGCTTATTATTAATAAATAAATTTTCAACTTTTCAGAATAAAAAATATCTAATAAAAATTGCAAAACTTTTTATGGTAAACAAAGAGTAGAGAAAAATGAGTAGAGGCCGCGGTATTTCTAAGTGGCAATATATTTGCAAAAACATCAAATGAGTCAAAAAATCATTTAGTGTCAATTTTATATTGAGTGAAACTATTTTTTATTTTTGTATCATGTGCAAGCAATGAATGGCGTCCGGCGTCAATGAAAAATGTATTTTACACAAATTTTATTTTATTATAGTTAATTTTCTATTTTATTTTATTTTTATATGTTTTGTGTTAAGTTATTATTATTTTATTCTTTTATTTTATTTCTTTTTAGTTCTATTTTACTTTATGTTATTTTAATTTACTTAATTTTTTTTTAATTTAATTTTTATTACATTTTATTTTTTTTTGTTATTTTTTTTTTTTTTTTTGTTTTCTTTTTCAAAAATGCTTCGAAGCACAAAATTGCAAAAAAAAAGCAGTGAAGAGTTGGAAAATTCTTCCCGATACCCATTTTCCTTAAAATAACTCTCCCGCAGAAATCTCTGAAGAGGAAAGAGATATGGTTGGCGAGACTTCCTCGGACATCCCGCGCGACGGTCACTTGACTTGGGCGATAAACTCGTTCAAATCTTTTAAATTCTCAGGACCTGATAGCAGGTGGTGTCGGATGGCTAACTCCGGTTTTCACGCACAGTCTGAGTCTAGGTTGCATCCCAGGGCGTGGAGAAGAGCAAAGGCAGTTCTCATTCCGAAAACTGGAAGAAGCGTGCTTGTCGCTCTAAATGCCTTTGGTCCGATCCTGATTGACCTGTATACTCGATTTCATCCTTCTTCTCCATCATAATCACTTTACGAGAGGAATGGGGGGGACAGAGCCTATAAAGGAAATAAGCACGTAAATTTTTCAGGGATGAGTCGAACCTTAATAAAAAGATCGGTCGATGACTACCGTATCTGACAAAAATCATCTATCGATGGAAAGTCTAGACTACCTGACCATTGTATTTTTTTCCAGTTGAAATTTTCTGTTATCAAGATAGAGGTGGATACCCTGCAATAAAAGGTTACTTCTGGGAGACAATGCTTGGGCGCAAATTGACTCGAAATTGAAATCAAATGGGCTCCAGCTCACCAGAGCTGCGAACTGTAATGCTGGTGAGCTTGTACATATGGATACCATCAGCCCGACAGAAAACAGATATTGACGTCGTGGTCTAGCGTTCAGTATATTTGTCATCTTTGTGGCATCACAACCGACGTGTGTGTTTATATCGTCGTCGTACGCAGTGAAGTAAGGAATTGTGGAAAAAAAAATTGCAATAGTAGCTAATATTCTTCTTCTTCAATTTATAAACACCAAATTAAGAATTAAACCAAATAAAAAATATTTAATTATTTTCTACAAATTTATTTTTATTGATTGTAGCTATAATTTCCATTTTTGCACACGTTTATACAAAGTATATTTTAGACAGATAATCTGCTGCATTGGCATACATGATTTCCTCAACCCAAACCTTAAGGTTTCATTGCATATCAAAATTAGTAATTAAATAAAAATAAATATTTCAAAGAGTTCTCTTACAGGATTGTTGTTTAAAAAACAGGTCAAAAAGTAAATAAATTCTCTCTATTACGCTTTTAGTTATAACCACTTGAGATTCAGCAATTGTGACTACCACATATTTACATTTAGGCATACATATTTACAATATTTTCAAACGTATGCATTCGAATATTTAGACACTCATAACCATAAGTAGTAGTTTCAACACCTTTCGTGTGTTTTTAAGTACGCTACAAAACTATCAGCACCCTGAGCGCAGATTCTTGCTGGAAATATCATTGTACTCAATCCATTTCTGTATCTCCGGAGGCATATCGGGTTTCAATCTCACGTGCGCCTGTCCGTTCTCCGCCACATCGCAGTTGGTTGTTGGCGATGTCGGCACTCCACTGTTATCCAGACTTACCGTGGAGCTAGCTGCATTGTGATATGCTTGTAATTGCATACTTTTAGGTGCTAACAATTCGTTCATCACCTCCTCCCCTGAGCAATCGACAATGCGTTGTCGGCAAATAGCGATGGCGTGAATGAATTGATCGGAGGGTCGTAAGAAGCGATGTTCCATATAAACGGATTGATCGTCCCAATAGATGATCTAGAAACAACAATAATAAGTATTTTAAAAAAAAAAAATCAATAACAAAAAAACTCAAACAAAAACAATAAATTAGTAGAAAAAAAAACAAAATAATTACAAAAAGATAAATTTAATAAAATAAAAAATAAAGAAGATTAAAGTAAAACCAAATAAAATTAAAAATAATTAATTTAATTTGAGAAAGTAACATAAAATAAAATAGATTAAGATATTAAGATAAGGAAAAATAAAATAAAATAAATTACAATAAAATAAAAATTAAAATAAAATATAAAATTGAATAAATTAAAATAAAAAATTAAGTAATATAAATCAAAATAAAAAAAAATTAAATAAAATTAAAGAATACAAAAATAAATATATAAATATAAAAAAATAATAAATACACATAAAAATTTCAAATTAAATGAAATAAAATTAAAAAAATTAAATTTAATTAAAATGAATAGAATGACATAAACAATATTAGAAAATTAAAGAAAATAAATTAAATTAAAAAAGGCAAAATGAAATAAATTAAAATTAAAAATAAAACGAAAAAAATGAAACGAAAAAAATGAAAGTAAATTAAATCAAATCAAAATAAAAACATAAATAAAATAAAAATATAAAATAAGTTAAATAATGTATAAAATAAATGAATTAAATAGAAGTTAGACGAAATAAAATTAAAATAAAACGAAATGAAATTAAATAAAATAGTTCAATAAAATTAGTTATGAAAATGATTAATTAATTAAAATAAAAAAAAATAAATTATTTAGCAATTTTATTTTATTTTCTATACCTACACAGACGCGTCACACTCACCCGAGATTGTATTTGGAAACGATGATAAGGTCTTATAAAACGCCGATATCGTATAGTGGCTGCACCTTGTACAACTGAGCCGCCTTTAGCTTTAATGGTGCGATATAAATCTGTGCGCTCGTAAAAATCAGCTCTCGCAAAGTCCAGTTCACGTAAATAACGCGCGTTGTTCATGTGATATAGCAACCAATCGATATCGTTTGTGAGACAAATGCCTAGACAATCAAAAAATAAAGTAATAAAAGTTTAAATTATCTTCATATTTTTCAATACTTAAACGCAAAATGATAGACTATACGAGCAATTGAGATATAAATCGTAAATTTAATTAATCACGATATTAATCAAAATAGCAAAAATAATGCTGGCATATACTCAAAAACTAATTTATCATGAGGTTTTTTACTTCACCCTCGGCAGTTAATTGGAAACCTATTAAACAACATCACGCATACGCCTGGGCGGACAGCGCACCAACAACGCCTTTGACTGAAATGTTACTTATACGCATTGGCAGCCGCTGCTAATGCCGCTTTTAATCATTAATATACAGGCTAGCAGCACTTAAGTAGCACGGTTGGCGGCAATAATAACAAATATTTACCGTTCTTCAATTTCATAATTCCACATTACTTTCACAGTGTCACCTTGAACTTGACGGTAGTAATCATCATCCTCGAGGTTATCCAAATGAAAAAAGAGCATTCTATTTACTGACTCACGCTGGGCGCGCTATTTGCCACCTGCAACTACCACAATAGCTGCTTGTGACAACAATGTAGATGGTGGTGGCGTTTACTTATGAGACATGCAAATAAGAATAGTAGAAACAAAGAAATGCAAACAAATGCATTTCCTACTTACACATTTTGTTTAAAACAGTGATGGAAATCGATTGCGGGCTTCGAAATACAAAAACAGGAAAGAGAATATTTTTAACACCCCGCAAGAAAAATACCAAAAAAATATATATTCTTCGCCCAACGATTACTATTTCTTCAGAAATTAAATTATTAAATATATTTTTTAATTACGAAATTAGTCAAAATTGTTCCGTCAGTAGATTCTTTGCTTATTCAAAGCACTTAAACAGAAATTAAAGTTAGTAATCCACCGAAAAATCTTATGGACAATTCGAAATTTCCCTACAGGTTCGTCAAAGCGTTAAATATTCACATATATATTTACATAAATAGTAGCCGTTCAGGTAAACACTTACGTAAACACAAAGACACGTGTTAATCGCATGTGGCAACAAAGCCGTCGTGCCTTCGTTTTTTATAGCGGCCGCAATAACCGAGTGGTTAGCATTACATACTGCTATTCTGAAGGTCAGAGTTCGAGCCCTGGTTCGACCAACATTACAGCCGCACTTCGGCGGGGAATTTCAACCCCCCTCCTAGTGTGTTTCTAACATGACAGAAAACTCCATAAAAATCCACCAGCGGTTCGGAGGCGACTTAGTATAAACTGTAGGTCCCTTCATTCGTTGGAAAAACAGCAAGACACAAAACCACAAATCGGTGGAGTAGCTCGGCCGAAAACCGCTTCAGCGGTTACAAAGCGCCAATTAAATACATATATGTATGTATATGTATATACAAGAGCACATGACATAGACGAAATGAAAACTGAATGGATATATGTACTCGTATGTATGATTGTTCCTCCTCAGTTCGGTATTTGCAATTAGCGGTTACTAACTTTTTCTTAGTAAGAATGTGCTAATATCTTAATTTGATACTAAAGAGTAGGAAGATATGTACATATGAGAGGTATCGGTTATTTTTTTATGCCATGGGAACTATAAATATCACATTTTATGGAATTTCGATCCTGTCAAATGGTTTCTGAAATATACTTTTTGACCCAAAAGTGAGTGGTGCCCCTCCTTCTACAATAGATTTGCATTTAATCCGATCGTGCGCATATGGCTTTTATTATGCATTTATTAGCTGAATTATCGCGATATTTGTACTTTTCTAATTACCGTTATCCAATTTCGTCCAAGCATTCGTACTCGTGATTTAAGCAACCATCTTTTCTCAAAATATCAATGTCAATCCTTACTTGGTTTTATCGAGTACACGGTTAGACGGAACTTCAAGATTGACATGGCTAAATCGATTCACTTCGTCTTCCCGAGAAATTTGATATACATATGTCCATATCTATTTGCGATTATTGTATGCCGTTACATACAACCTTAGTTGAGTGAACTTAGTAAGACAAAACTTTCATGTGGAAGAAAAGCCTAAATGTTTTACCACTAAAAATTATGATTAATTGCAAAATAATAGTTGAAAGGTACTACTTACCGCCCACAGTGGTCGTTTCCAAAATGTGGCATTTGCCCTTAACGAAACGTGCTAAAATTCCACAAAGGCACATACGCAGGAAGTAATGAAGCTCGAAGAAGGCATAAAGCATCAGCAGAGTAATTAACAAATAACACCACCACGGCAGCATAATTGGAAGCTATTATTGTTTGTGTACGCACGTACGTATGAGTGTAATGCAAACTACGGAATTCCACCGGCAAACGTACTTATGCGAAGGAGCAACAAATTTAGTGTGGTCTGTGGCTTACGCAAGTGTGATGAAGTGTTGAGTTGTGCTCGGGTCACTTTCTCTTTCACTTTTATTGTTGTTGTTGCTGTCTTTTAATTGCGGTTAGATTTTTGGTGTAATTAGCTGCATTAATACGGTTTCCAAATTGTCAATTATGTCGCAGGCATTGCATTGGCTTCATTCCCTTCTGTCTCTAATCAAAGGATTCGCTTTGTGTTGAGGGTAATTAGTTAGTTCCTTTTCTTAGTGGCTGCTAATTGTTAAATGTATGTAGTGTTGCGAGTTCTTTTGTATACTTTGTGTTGTTATTTGTATGTATTTCCAAATTATTTGTACTTTTTTAATTTTTGCCGATTTTTATTATATCTTTTTATGATTTTTTGAGTATTTGCTGGAATTTAATTCAGTAAAGCTGTAATTACTGTTGTTTTAATTGTTTTTATATTTTTTTGTTTAAATTGTAAATAGATTTTATTATTTTTTTATAAACTAAATTAAATTTTATTTATTAATTTTTATTTTTCTAACTAATTTTATTCCTTTATTTGTTTTTTTTTTATGTTCTGTTGTAAGTTATTTTGTTTTATTATATTTATTTTATTTTGGATAATTACTTTAATTTAATTTAACTTTTTTTTTGTATTATTTATTGAATTTATTTGGCATTTGGTGGGTGTTCAATAACAAGTGTCAACTCTATCAACGCCAAGCGCAAACTACATCGCTACATATTTGGCTGCGCTCTTAACAGCTTCGCTTTTATCGTCGTATTGTTTACTATTGACTTTTGATTGGTCATATTTCATATTAAAATATTCGTTTAGACATTTCTTATTATTCGTTAAGCAGTTTGTGTTTTTATTTGTCGTTTTTACATCAGTTTGCTTGCTCGGCTTTTTCTTTCCGCTTATTGAAACTGGGTCATGATACTTTCAATTTATTTTATATTCTCGGTTAGGATAAGTAGCAGGTGTAGCTATAAATATATAGCTTCTTAAACAAACATCCGAATAACTATTGAGTCACTCTGTCATTGCCTTCTCCACAGTCTCACTGTTGCCTGTTTAGTTTGCTCCTTCACAGCCGCCTTGATGGGGGTCTGCTCCTTCAAGCAACTTTTACGCCCAACATATATATACATATAAAGATTGGGTCAGGTGATGATGACGCTTGTACAATGCAATAGTTTAGACAACATATTTATGTACATATTTGTATATAAATGTTGTCATTTCAGTTTATACACACACGCCTGCCGATTTTCCAATTCATCAAAATAGCAGTGTTTTTTTACACACTGCTATATTCAAAGAAAAGCCACAAATAAGTATTTGCACAATGAAAATAAAAACTTTGCAATGAGCCTCTAAATATTTATTGTACACTGAAAAACGATATCACTTTACACGCCTAAAAGCACACTTTAATTAATTAATGGGGAAAAAAGAGAAAAATTTTATCTACGTCAATTTCACCACCACTTAGTGCCACATTTGCGATTGGGATTGTGCATAATAAGTATTCATTGCTATATGTACACATATGTATGTATATGAATAACAAATTAAATTTTTCCTATCCAAAAGTACAGCATTTCGTGGTCACAACTAAATAACTACTAAAAGTGCAGAAAACAGATTTCGGGCTGCTCAGCATTTTGAAAATAAAGATTTTGACAGTTCTCAAGCGTTTGCGCAGTTGACCAGACTAGAAAAGATGGAAGAGCGTGCAACATGTGCGAGTTTTTTGTGGCGAAAAATTACATTTGAGAAAGTCAAAATAACATTGAATGAAGAGAACGCGGAAATTGAAAAGGAAAGACAAAAGCACCTGATAGTTGAAGATTGTTAGGAACAGTTGATGAAAATGAAACATGCAAAATAAAGGATAATTGTACAATGGTTGTATGACTAACCTACCACAAGGATAATGAATACCTATGTATGAGTGTTTATATAGTATAACATATAACACAATAAAATTATGTAATCATAGAAGAAGATACAATGAGTTGAATAAAATCGTATACAAATACTTATATCTATATCTATCTATACATATTTATTTAGATATAAGTATTTTGTATACGATTTTATTCAATTGAAACTTCTTTCTGAAATTAAAAAAAAAATATTACAAAAAATTAAAAAAAAATATTACAAAAAATTAAAAAAAATTAAAAAAAAAATTTAAAAAAAAATATACAAAAAAATAAAAAAAAAAATAAAAAAAAAATAAAAAAAAATAAAAAAAAATAAAAAAAAAATTTAAAAATTAAAAAGAAAATACAAAAAAAAAATTAAAAAGAAAATACAAAAAAAAAATTTAAAAAAAAAATACAAAAAATAAAAAAAAAATTACAAAAAAATGTAAGTAAAAACGTAAATTTCAATCAAAAATTTAAATGAAATAAAAAATTAAGACAATTTTAAATAAGAAATTAAAACAAAAATCAAAACTTTTAATTAAATAAAAGATATGAAATATTAAAGCTTTTAAAGTACATATGTCTTTGTATTACAACTAAAGCGAATTCGGAAACGCTACCGATAATATAATATAAAATCTTCAAATCACGTTTAATATGTTTTTTTTACAAATAAAATTATAAAAAAAAAATTGGTAAAACATAAAACATTTCCACTTTTCGGAAAATTTTTCATATATTTACATATATACAGACGTAATAATAATAATTGAAACCATTTAATTTTTATTTTCAATATTATTTTACTTAATATATATTTTTCGCAAAAAATTAGTTAAGTAATTTATACACTGCATTATAATTACCACATTTTTATTAATAATATATTTATAATTTTCATTACATATATTGTTGATCGTAAGTATGTATGTAGGTATATTGTAATTAATAAATCAATAAAAGGCGCACTTTATATGTAGTTGAATCATAATTATTTCTTAATGAACACTTTATTTGTTGTTGTAGGCGGTAAGTTGAAAAAAAAAAACGAATTGTGATATGCGGAAAAATTTACAGAGTTCATTCGAGAGAAAAAAACGGCACAATAATTGTTTAGAAGCACTTGTGTGAAACAATTGCATACAAGTGATTGTGTTATATTGGTTGCCACTATCACTATATATGTACATATTTATGTGGATTTTATGTATTTGTGGTTCTGGTATAAATTATGATTTTGTTCGATTTTTCAGGTTGATTAATAAACTGTTTCTATTGAACTGCATTTAAATGGAAAAAATATAATATAAAAATATAGCTTTAACAAATATGCAATCGCTGTTCACATGGGCAATATGCCGTTAATCACGTATTTAATGTTTGCAACTTTTTCTTTTATATTTGATACTTTTTTAAACTTTGTAAACTTTCTTTCTAACCTCTAGCACTAATAACGTTATTAGTTGAATATATTTTGTGTATACTGCTTTGTGTAATTGTTTTATTTCATATTGAATTAATTAATGGTAAACAAATGCATATCATTAGCAAAAAAAAAAATTAATACCGACATTATATGTAAGCATATACATACATATGTACCATGTGATGGGTGCTTTCATTATATTAATTATGATATAAATTATATTTTGCGTATAACTTTTGTTTATTATTTTGCAAATTATATTTTCCAAATATATTCAATTTTGTTTTTCAAAAAATTAGCCATTCACTTGCGGTAATATTTTTTCTTGAATTTTGTTATATCTTCGTGTTTATACAAAAGAAAGTTTCTAAGCGAACTACCTCTGTGTATCTATTTAACTTTAAGGAACAACAATCTAATTTTATATACAGCAAATTTACATAAGATGTTGCAAAACAAAAACAAAAACAAATAAACTAGGTCAAGTTAGGCACTCGGAAAAAAATACGTGTGCTTAATGAAATGAAATTGAAATTATTTTTATTATTTTTTAGTAAACTAAATATAAAGCCACAATAAAAGTATTGTTATTGTTTCTGATTTTTTTTCCGATTTTTGTTTCTTTTTTTCGTTTTTCTAAAAAGATGATAATCAATATGTAACTTAAGCGCACTACATAAATGTACGTATGTAAATGTACGTTAGCCGTTGTGTATATTTACATATGGGTATGTACGAATATGTATATGCATATGCAATAAATGTTCAATAACTTTTTTATTAAACATTTTCGTTTGTTTGTTTGTTTTTTGTTTTAAACCGTTAACTATGTATAATTATGTTTTGTAAATTTTTTGTATATGCATTTTCAGTGTTCTTATAAATTTTAGGCGTGCTTATGTATGTATGTGTGTAGGTAAAACAGCCGTGTCGCTGCTTTTGGTTGTATTCTCTTTTTTTTTTTGTTTTCGCATTTATCCTTTGTTTTTTTAATCCCAGACATTTAACATTTTTCAAGTCCAATAATAAACAATTACAATTAAGTCACATTTCGTAGCCTCGGCGCGACGAAAGACAACAGCTTAACTTAACTACTGTCGGTTTATAAATTTAAGCATTAAATAGTCTCTATTTGCTAGAATTTTGATCATCATCGACTCCTATCTATGTATATATCTTTATAGTTATTTTCAATTTTCATCATGCTCCTGATGGATATGGCAAATCTCTTCTAAATCGCAGCTTGTCAAATAACGGTTATATTTTTCTTTTAAAGTTTTCAAACTGCAAAGATCTTGATCTTGTGGACAACCGGGTAAGCGAATTGGACGCTCCTGATGCAGTGTTAAGATCATGGGGCCATTGCCATTGTCACACCTGAGGAGGCCATCCATATATTATTTATAATATAACTTCAATTATTTCGTTCAACTTACTCGTATAGCACAAAAGCTAAATTCGTTGCGAATGCGTCGATAACGCTGGTCCGCCAGGCACGCTCACGTCCGAAATCCCTATATGTCAAAGGTTCTGAGTCTTTATAGAGACCGAGGTGAGCCAAGACTTTTAGCAGTGTGCCAGAATGTGTGAAATAAAAGGTGGCGTTTGGTTTGTTCGAATTCGGACTGTAGAATATAGTAAAAAAAAAAAAACATTTCTTTAACAACTACATCATTTAAGAAACAAGTTATTCATAAAAAATTAGGAAATTAAAACAGAAAATAACCAATAAAATGAATTGTTTGAAGCAGAATATTTCTTTGACACAGCCATTCACCGCGCTCTTTTCCATTACTGGAATAAAAACTTACTCAATATATTCGAACATATTTTTCATAGCTGCACAGGCCATCCGATGTGTAAGTTCGTAACCATAACCGTCATTCCAAAAGTATTCAAGATCTTCGAAAAACTCGAAAGCTCTAATAGCATCCGTATTGAAGAGACTACACCACACCGAAGGATCTTGCTGAGGATACCAAGCTGTCTCAAAACCGCAAATTGTATAAATGAGTTTCGCGTCTTCTGCTGTAATATTTTGGACTTGTGTGCGACGACGCATATGGTTAACGGCTTCAATAATTTCAGGTTCTTGCAGAAAACGTTTTGAATTGTCAAATGTCTTTGGATTATCGTCAACATCAGTTTGCCATTTTTTACAAAGTTTATAAAACTGCAACAAATGAGATAAGAAAAAAATACAAATAATAGCTAAATTTAAAAATTCATACTTGCACTAAAGAAGTTCGAGTTTGAAAATATTTATCTACACTGGGGTAAACCTTAGATAAAATACAAAATACTCAAAGAAAAACCACCACATTTATGTTCAGCCACCTTTATTTCTAGTGTCTTATATACCTGCTGAGGGTTCGTAAACGACGACCGTGTTGTCCACGCAACCCACCGCCAAGGCTGCTTTATGCGAGTGGAACGACAAGCAGGTCGGATAGCCTATTTTGGTGCCCATGAAGCCCTCATTACCGCGCAGTGTATTCAACGCACGCCCGTTTTCTTGATGCAACGCAATGCCCTGCGCACTGCCACAGGCTATCATATCGGTTGACGGATGACTAGCGATCACAGCCACATCGTTGCCCGCTTCCCAGCTCTGCACAGCAGCTGCCTGGCGCAAGTCGAAGACGCGCACGCGTCCCTTGGCACAGCCGGTTACCAGCAACGGTTGGTTCTCCTTCATGCAAGCAGATAATATGGCACCAGCATGTTCACGAAAGACGCATATACGCGATTCTTGTGGCGATTGGCGTTTATCAAACAGACGCACACTGCCATCTGCACAGCCCGCCACAACAATGCTACTGTTCATGTTGTACGAGAAGGGCGCTAAGACGCGTACACTCGTTTCACTGCCAATCGGTATATCGCAGAGTTTCAACTCACGTTCTACATCCCAAATGCGTAGGTAGCGAGAGTTTCCACCACCCACCACCAAGTGTTGGCGACATTGCTGCCATGCGGTGACTATGCCCGTGCGCATCAAATCACGACGGTGCTTTAACGAAGATGAACCCGAGCCGGAACTACTTCCACTACCCACGCCGCCACCGATACTGCCGTAGGAACTATTGTAAGCGGCATTCATAGCAGGAATGCCTTCGAATGCAGTGATTAGTTGTGATTCCGGTTGATCGTCGGTGCCAGGCTGCCAGACGCGCACTACGCCATCCTCATGGCCGGCTAGTATCAAGCCAATGTCGTGTGCATTCAAAAATTCAATTGCACTGACGCGTGCAGTCAGGCTTTGTTGTTGTTGCTGCAAATATTGTTGCTGATGGTGCTGCATGTGCGCTGACGGCGATGACGAGGCGCCACTAGACTCGCCAACGTGATTGCGGGTTGCAGCTCCACTGCCCGCCTGTGGCACATAAGACCGCACCGAGTTACGCATCCAATCATAAACTAGCACCTTCTCCTTGTAGGCAACTGCAAGTTGTGGCTCATATGACAGTAGTTTGACTATGGCGGGCGTGTGTTGCGTCTTCAGCATGCATATCTGTGTATCAATACGGCTGCCACGTATGTGCTGCTCTTTAGACTGACGACGTATCAACTCATTACGATGAAAGCGAAACTGGCGAGAACGCAGCTCGGGCGAATTTGTGTCTGCGGGAAACACTTGTTGTCCCTCCGTGCCTTCGGCGGATGCGTAACGATTTTTACCAGGTCGCATAAAGTACGAAATGGCCCATGATATGAACTCAGTTTGTAGTATGGGTTTAAGTGCGAATTTTGGCTCGTAGTTGTTTTCGCTCGTGCTGCTGTGTGTCGAGCGCGAGCCCTCACCACCACCTCCACCGCCGACAGCATTCATGGTCAAATTCGCAACACCACTTACTACATGGCCGACACCCAACACACCGGTACTGCGGCTGCCGTTTAGAGGTCCGCAACTATCGGTTTCGTCTCCCATCGAAGTAGTGCGCATTTTGCGTTGTAAAATGCTTTGATGGTCGCTGTTGTTCATTGCATTCCCAGATAAGTGCTTACTATTGCGTAGTTTATTAGCCCAGTTGCCAATATTTTGATGTCCCGACACGCCTCCTACACCACCACCCACCGGGGGTGACTCTCCGCTCAAAAAGTTGCCACGAGTTGAGGGACTGGGTGGCAGACTTACACTTGAATTGCACTTATCGCTGGTAGCCTCTTTGGCGGTTATCAAATCGACCGACTTGTCGCGCACATAAGAGATAATCTTTTGCGCGGTTTCCGCCACCTCTGGGAATGGGTCATGGCCCAGATTGTAAATACCTTGCCACAAACGTAAAAATATTGAATGAAACGGTATAGCGCTGGAGACCATATTGGATATTGAACTGGAACTAGCGCCACGTCGCATTGAGACATGACGTTCCAAGCTGTGTGTCGAGTGGTGCACGATGGTTGGACTAGGCGTACCATGACTGATGCTGGCGCTGCGCTCACTGCTAATTACTGGCGTAGCGCCGAGTGTCAAAGCGGGATTTGAGCTGCTCATTTGTTCTTGCATGTAAACTGTAACGAACTGCGACTCGAACAGCAAAACCATCCACTGCAACGCCGCTGCCAACTCTAAGCGCACCAAAGGCGACATATCCTCTCCTACTGTGTCTAAAAGAGTGATGGCGATTATGCGATCGATATTATTTGCATGCTCCTCTCGATCCGTTACAGAACTAATAAATGTGCCTAATGCAAAGACGGCAGCAGCCCGCACTTCTGGTATGGGATCCTTAAGTAGAGGGTAGAGCTTTTCGTGCGCCAAATCGCGTACACCAGACCATCGTGCCTTTTCAAAGTTTTGCCAAAGCATACCTAAAAGCATGAAAAATGTAATTGAAAACAACTTTAGGAATATTTGTCTTTTTATCTTACCCAAGCATATTGCCAGCCATTGACGAAGAAGCCAACTTTCATCGTTCAACTGTTCCAAACATATGGACACCAAAGAACCCTGCAGAGCGCTGGTTTTGCCCAACAGAAAATCATTCACAATACAAGCCAGAACAAAAGCGGATAGAGTGCGATGTTCTTTTGAAACTGTTGGATCTTGTAGTACAGATAGGAAGTATTTATGTTCTTTTACCAAATCCACCTGACAATTAGGATCGACTGCCAGTATTTTGGCCCATATGAAGACAAGCACTGGGCGCAATTCCTTAGCTGAGCTTTGCAAGAGTTTAAGTACGTAAGGAAAGATGCCCACACCTAGCGCTAAATTTACTGCCCACGGACCGAGATCGAGGAAGCGTGCCAGTAGCTCTAAAGCACGTAAGCGATGCACCTGTGACAGTAACACTTGCAAAACTATAGGTAACTGCTCGGGCGGTGAACGTGATTCGGATTCACGGTCTAGCCAAACTTGGAAGGCTGTTAATTGTTGTTCGAAAAATGGTAGTTGGCGATATGGTGCACCTTTCTCTAATATTTCTGGCAATTGTTGCAATGCATAATCAACAACTAAATCCCAGGCAGACCACATATGGTGACGGAAACAGGGCGGTAACGCTGGATGCGATACTGGCGTGCAATCGTGGGAGCGTAAAATGCGTTCCGCAAGTAAAAAGTTGCGGAATAAACTGGCGACAAGTAAATCTTGCCGGAATAAGCGCTGAAAAAGATCGCGCGGCAAAGTGTTCCATGCAATGGTGTCAGTGATTGCAGTAAAAATCCAATTTAGCTCGCCCATCATTGTGCGACGGTCATTCACCTTTCCGGGTATTTTATCGACTTGATCGCTATGAATGTGTGGCACTAATTCAAATTTTTCTTGCATTGTGTACCACTTGAGAGCAATGATGATGGGCGTGGTTAGACAAGAAGTGAAAAGATCCGCAGGAAGATTGGCATTCATTGGTAGTATCTCATTGACAGAGCACGCTGCCAAATGTATACAATTTTTATAGCTCACCAATGGAGTCAGCAGGGATTGCGGCTGTCCAGCGCCGACCCGTTGACTAGATTTCTCTAAATCTTTTTCATGCTGTTCAGCGAATTGCTGGAATGAATTTATGATTATACCAGCATTCGAACAATCGTATACGTAAATAGAGGGTGCGCCCATCCAACTTTGCAACTCGAATATGCTCAAAGGTATGTATTGTGTAAATGTCTTATTAAAAACCCAAATTTCACCATTCGCCGTTGGCTTCGGTACGCCGTGTCCATTGTAGTGGAAGAGTATACGTTCACCCTTTGCGTTGCGTCGCAATGAAGTGCATAACTTCTTTACATCTTCAGCGGTAGGGTCATGACATTTCTTATAACGTGCACGAGGCTGCCAACGCTCATATTGTATTTGCAAATTATTTCCAATCAATTCCATAGCTTTCGGCGCCGACACCGATGAAGGGTCCACCCAACATTCCAATCGAGCACATGGCTGAATTTTTACAACGTCTGGAGGATCAACGCCTATGTTAAGGCATAGCACTAACACCACACTCGCAGTTCTCATACGCTCTCTGATACGCCATGCGACCGGCTTGCATTTAATGCCCTCTATTCTTTCTTGATGACGTTTGGCTTGGAAGCAAAGTGGGCAATGCTTGTCAGGCACTATAACACCAAAGGAACCATTTGTCAACTGTTGGAGTAGCGGTAACATTTGCTGACTGTCAGACATTGAGGTTTTCCGACTGCTTGGGCCAACACCGCCGCCACAGCTGCCACTGCCAATGACAAAAGAGGCAGAAAGACGTCCATAATTACGGCTACTATCCATTTATATGAGATATAACTGAATCTATTTGCACCTTTTTCTATATTTCAAGACACCAATAAAAGCCTGCCGAAAGGTCGATTTTTAATGACCCTGACCGACTTTACTTGTGAAAGGTGTGAGTAAGTGAGAGTTGTACCAATTTTATTTATATGTATATTTTATCTTTTCTGATGGCTTCACTATTGTTAATTATAGCTGCGTCATTGGTTCACCACTTTCAATGATATAAATCTGATTCCTTCTACGCCGCCTATTGAAAGGTTCTTAGTCTGCAAGACAGACTACGGCTCCGTAACTGTTCAATGCATATATCAATTCTTATCGTTTTATCGAAACTACAAAAAACTATATGCACTTTTCGTTAGCTTTATTTTATTTCTTTTCACTTTTTGCGCATTTTGTATTCACTCTTAAAATTAAGTGCGTATTTTTACATTTAATTCCAACTAGATTTTACACTTAATTGAAAACCACGTTCGACAGAAAAATACGCAGCATTCTTTCAATTTCTTCACTATTTTGACGTTTACCTCGGTCTTTATTGATTGTTCTGCTTTAACGGGCACTTCGCGTCTTTGTGTGTGCTCTTTATGCGATATTCGTCAATATGCACCTGAACAGAGCTGCCATAGCTTAAGCAGAGAAGGTTATTTATTCTAAGTTCTCTGACCAAAGTCGGCATAAATTAGGTAGAGATCGTATAAAAATACGATCTCTCATTACATTACAAACCTCCACGAAATCTGTTACACAAATCGTATAACAGTCACGAATAGTTTTCTATTTTGTAAATTTCTGTATTTTGAATAATTTTGGAACTAATTTTTCGACATGAATTTTCGTTTTAATTGAAAATGTCAATTGAAGAGTTTCTTTTTATTGCCAATGCGGTGTTTTAATGGAGGAAAAGCGTTTTCTCTTAACAACAGCTTTGCACTAATGCCGATTATATTTAAGTATTTTACTTTCTTATGGATGAAACAAATTATTAACTTCATTCACTGTTATGAATAAATGTTACTTTTTTGCAGGTTTGTATTTTTTTAATTATTTAAACATTAAGTTAATAATAGCACTTTATAAAATATTGAAATGTACTCACCCTTAAAACTGGATCTTTATGCAAAGCTTCTGGATATTCCACCGATCCTATGCCATGTTTTCCGAACAATCCAGAAGTAAAACTCTCGGCGCTCTTTAGGGTGCGCTGCGTCTTTGTGTACTTGAAGTAGTACAAGTCGGGGTCATATTCATCAACCAAAAGGTTTGGAAAACGATTCTGCATACGTTCGGCTAACTCCTGCAATTCATCCTCCCCTTCGGCCGTAAGATATTTTTCTTCTTCGCTACTGATATTAAAATTCCAAAAGCGCAAACGAATCAATTCTTCAGGACATAGTTTAGTTTGAGGATTTTTAAGAATTTGTTCTTTTAATTGTACTAATCTGAATTTCGTTCCCTCAATGTGTTCTTTACTGGGATTTCGTGTGCCATGACGAATAACAGACCAAATACGAGTCGCTCGACATTCTGTTTGGAGTAAAAATTGCAATCAAATTCTAAATATTCTGTGTAATGCATATTAAATTTCCTACGCTTACCTGGATATGTAATGGGTTTATCATCTAAGTTAGCTACTACTCGATAGGGAGTTTTGGTTGATAAGTGTGACTCAATTTCATGTCGTTTTAAGTTTGAACATTGCGGCTCCAACAGTTCTTCTTCTGTCGATGCATTTGGAGACTTTGCGGCTGCCTGCAACACGAAACATTCACTGACAACCAACAAAACCACAAATATGAGGCTCTTTATCATTTCTGTAGTATTCCACCAGAAATATTACAAAAATTTGTCAATTAAATAAAAAAGGAAATTTGTTAAAATTATAAAATAGAGGAGGTCGCAAAAATTAAAAGAATTACACAGGGACAGAATAAACAGTAAACACAGAGAACTTAGAATTCTTTTACATTCTCTGATAAACAGGTCTTTATGTCAAATTTGCCAAAATTTCACAACACAGCTGTTCGTCACAATTTTATGCCCACAAAATATTCATTGGTGCGTTTTGTTCAGACAGAGGAATAACGGAGAGGTCCAATGGACGTAAACGTTAACAGCTAAATCGAGAATTCAAATTTATTGAAGTAATAATGAGATTATTTGAGAAGAAGTAAATAAAAAAATAACTTCTTCACTCTATGAGCTGCAATGCTAATTTCAGATTCTTCGATGGCACTCAACAGACTGGTTTGTAGAGTTTGTGCTTAGCTAAGAAACAAACACATTCCTTTTTTATTTCGCCAGAGCATGTATACATATTAGCGAAATGTAGAAGACGACATTTTTGCCACTGACTTTGAGCAATTGTAGAAGATCCCGTAAGGTCCTGTATTCCTCCTTCCCCTCTATGATTCGGCAGTGACAGAAGTATTCAAGGAAGTAGCCAATCCTTCTGCCATTCTTGTCCTCTTATCTTCCCTTTATATTTTTAGACAAGAAACTATAGGTAAACTAATGTTGGTATTGGACTTCAACGCATAATCACATTCTCTAAAAGATGCCACTTTTGACTGAGGATGCAATTTTAAAGAAAAAAACCTCTATTGACGAACGTTAGGCAAACTATAGAAGTCGTCATCCTACCCACCTTGCTACTTAGTACAAAAGTGTGGACGACGACGTCATCCAATGGGTAAAAACTCGAAGTTTGCTAGAGAACGGTTTCGCGAACGATTTGTGGACTTTTGCATAACAGCCCCGGCATATACCGTTCACAATGGTATGATGAGCTTCATGAGATATAGGACATAATTCAGCGAATTAAGAGACCAGCTATGCTGGCTCGGTCATGTTGTTGAGAACATTCCAGCTTTTAAAGCAATCGATGCAGCATCCACAAGTGGCACTAAAGGAAGAGGAACCTCTCCACTCTGGAAATATTGAATGGAAAAAGACTTGACTTCACACGGCATATCCAATTGTCACCAAACGGCGGAAAGAAGAAACTATTTACATGCCATAATTGACTCGGCTAAAATCGTATAAGTAGTGTCTTCTTCTTCTTCTGCTTCTTTTAGTGTTTACGCCAAAAAGGGAATACAAAATTTGTTTTACTTTTCAATATTATTTACTTGTGTTTTTCGAAAAGACCACACTGAGGTCTGGGCAGTAAGTAGCAGAGATAATTCTCCACCGACTCCTTTCCTTCCATATTCCTACAGCGACAAGAGTTACTTAAGAAGTAACCAATTCTTTTACCATGAGTCCTACGTAAAACAGTGTCCGGTTATTACAACTGTGCTTATGGAGGGACATTTTTCTCTTCCCTTTGGTTAATGACCAGCTCCGTGTGATTTTGTTGAGAAAAGAAAGAAAAAGTCGGTGTAGTCGTACAGCCCAAGCTAGGAGCTGGTCGCTTTCAAGTTAGCTTGTCGGCCTCCCAATTCCACAAGCGTTTGCATGCAGTCGATTTCCCATCAGCTGCTTATAATTAATTTTTTTTTTTTTTATTTAAGTATGAGACCAATTATCAGACATATTGTATATATATATATAGTATATATCCCATTTGCCGGCTATGCCAAGCCCATTTTTTCTCAAATATTTTATTAAAGCTTATAAGCACTTTGCATATGTATGTACATATATAATATAATATAATACATACGAGTGCTTACATACACGTATATGCACAATCGCAGAGCTATCATTTAGGCGCGCAACGACCAACCCCACTGTTATCGTTTATAACCAAATATATTTACATATATATGTATGAATGTGTATGTGAATGTACATAAATACGAGTGTGTGCATATTGTAAGTATATGTGTATGTCATGGCCAAGTGCGTGGCCAACTCAGAACAGTGCCAACCGCAGCAAGAACAGCAAATAACAAAAAAGGCACGAACAATAAAAACGGCGGTGGCTGTTGGCTTTACGCTTTCAGGCCAAATCGAGATGCGCTGCCGTCGAATCAGTCGTTTGCGGGTAATCGCGTGAAATGGTTCAACGGTTTGGCTTGGCTACTTCAACGCAGCAGGAACAAGCAGCTAAAGTAATAATACCAAAGCGTTTAATATAAATATTTATAGATTTAAAAAAAAAAAGAAATAAAATTATAAATTAAACAAAAGCCAATAATCCGAGCAAAGTTTGTGAAAAGTGTAGTGAAGAATTAAAAATAAAGAAAACGAAACAGAAATTAAGTGAGAATAGTTGAGCAACACATACTTACGTAGATGTGTATACATATATTTGCAGAAATGTTTATATAAATATGATTTAATATTTCAAAAATTCGCAAATTCTAAAATATACACATATGCGCATACATAAATGAGTGAAACGGTTGCTAATAAAAACAAATACTTTAAAATAAAATACTGTTATAAAGTTTTGATTTATTTGCCAATTAGCTGTCACACTAGTGTAAATAATATGTGCATATCATAATGTGAAAAATATAATAGTAAACAGGCAAAAATGTATCTATGTCCAATGTGTATACATTATATACATATACATATGTATATATACCGCACATAATATTCCATTAATATCACTCAAATTCACAAACATATTGACACATTTACTTAGTACACACTTTCCACTGATTAGTAACTTTGCATACGTACATACATACAAACACACAAACATACAAACATTCATACGTAGTATTTGCGTACACGCTCCACCCACCGTTGTCGCTTCCTTTTTACGTTGGCAAATTCTATTGACCGCAAAATTGATTGTCGAATGCACGTGAAATGGATTTGCGAATTGAAAATCACAATAGATTTTCAGGTGCTTGCGACTTTAAGCCACATTCGGCGTGCTGCGGCACGTAACCCTAGCCGACGATGGCAAACATATGTTATGATAAAATATGGGCAAACAGCTGCTAAAAATGCGCAACAACTCAAACCAGTTTCGCAAACGTACATACATACATACATAATGCATGAATTTGAAAACCGCCTGTTGCGCATCAACGGCCAAGACACAGCATGGGGCGGCACGCGGTGGCTGGAGGGCGTATGTTTGTGTGTCAAAGGGCTAACCCTACCTAATGGACGGACTTAATAAACTGCTGTTGGTGGTGGGATTGTGCTGTTGTTTGTTTTTTCGTTTTTGTTTGTTGTTTTCTTGTTCTTCATTTCACTTTTTATTTGCTTTTGCGCAGAAAAAAATAATAAACTTGCCACACGTACAGGTTCAATGATGCAGTAAATAAATTGTTACTAATACATATATATATATATATACATATATATGATTGTGCCGTGTACATTGTACAGTGTAACATTTTTAGACGCTAACAATCCTTGGTCCTTTCGGTCCTTACCGAAGCGCGGGTATCTTACGTCGCTTCGGAGCGACCCTAACTAGTATGGTTTTCTTGAAGTAGAGAAGCACTACAATAACAGCGTTATTCTGGTTAGGTAAAAGTAGTTTCAGTTACCTACGTGCTTTGTTTTAATCGACCACAACGTCGGGAAAAGGTTATGTAAGTGGTTGTTAATGTTCTCTCGTACTGATTCACCAGCATACATTCTGATACTTAAGCGATTATTACGATCCTCAGCTCAGTAAAATTACTTAAACGAGTCACAGAAAGAGTGATAGCCCTTAAATATGTATAATTGACCTTTATAACCGCTGAAACGGTTTCGGGCCGAGCTTTTCCTGCAATTAGTGGTTTTGCGTCTTAATGTTTTTCCAGCAAATAGAGGGACCAACAGTTTTTTTATGAGGAGCTTGTATTTCATGTCATAATTTTCTATAAATTTTAAATGTTGGTCGCACCAGCATATGAACCTGGGCCTTCCAAATGGTGGTATGCAGCAATACCAGCGACTACTTGGGCGCGTAACATCCGGGTTAACTTCGTTGCGTAGAACTGGCCGTCGAGAGAATTATCGCTTCTGTTCGAAAGTAGACTGCCATCTCGCCAATCTTTCTCCTTTATTCACTGCACTACATCTGCAATTACAAACGCGAAACTCTTAGCTAATCTTTTCACCAATTGAATGCAGGAGTACCGGCTCGAAGCAAACTCTGACAATATATAACCCAAAGTTACTTAGAGTTATAATCAACAGCCTGTACGCCTTCATTCTGTGATTGCCACTAAAGTATACAACCGTGACAAAAAACCTCAAACCGTGCCGCCCATAGGAGCGTAACATTTATGCTACGAGTTAAGGACCATAATCTTATGCTATGTAAGCAATATCTGTTGGACGATATGACGTACCGACACCGACTTCAGACACCATTCACAAAAAGTCCATATTCAAAATTCTCTTCGTATACCCATTGCAGACCTAGGACTCGAGTTACCTCGTAAGACCCGAGAAATACTGGCACAAATAAAATTTGGAAATTGTAGTCGACTCAAGTTCTAGTTATAGCCTGTTCCCTCTGATCGGTACGCGTGGAAATGGCTCCTGGACCGCCCGTTAGATAATTTCAATGAATTAGACTAGTCTCGTCTGCTCCGAAGCGCTACAACAACCCTTAGTTCACTTATGATATCCTTAAAAACTATGAAAAAAGCTTGCAATATTCAAAGAGAATATTATCTGGTCGCCAAATCATAGTAATTTCCCCGATAACGACAAAGCATACAATCTCGGAAACAAATGGTCAACTATTGTTGATTCGGCTATTATCGCGAATGGGGTGACTACGGCCATAAAAAAGAGAAGAGAAAAGGATCTTACACGAAAGGACACTGCGGTCTCTAATAGATCTTAGGGTACTAGTTAATCCTGAATGTTTATCATTTTACAGCTACAGAGCTTTGAATAAACGTCCACGCCTGATTTCAAAGTGTAGCCGAAAGCAAAATGAAAATGATTTAACCACAGGCCTTATATCAAATCTAACATGCCAGATTA